TTTTTTTTTTAAATAAAGCCGCGGCTGAATCCAACACTGCGCGGAAGTCATCATGACGATTTGATAGGTGGGATAGGAGCTTGGAATAGCCCGTACCGGACAGTTGTTTGCGGTCAGCACCGCAGATCTTGCAGCGATGGTCTCCCTCGCTTTTATGCTCGAAGAAGAGCACACAGGTCCCTGTTTGCTGCCATTGTCGTAGTTTAGGAAACGAAATGTGTGCTGTAGCTTCTAGAATCGATAACGAGGTCTACATAGAGCTTGCCTAGCCACTCACTATAGTTAAACACTGTGTTAGAGCTACGAAACACCGTAGATTAGCCGAGCCGGTCTCGCCAAAGTGGTAGCTGGTCGTCTATCCAGAGACTTTATTGCAGTAATTGGATCAATATATTATAATACTTGTTTGTAAGATGTCCAATAATAATAATTATGCAAAAACAGCATTCCGCAATTATTTTTTCCGAGGCCTGATCGCAAGGGCATGAACGACTCACTATTCACAGATGGAAGCTCACAGCTGTGGTAAATGGATGGGATAACACCGCAACACCTCTCGAATTTTTGTTGAGCGAGGGTCAAATCTACAGGAAAAGTTTGCATATGAACAGACAAATGGCTAGAATTTCAGAGACCGTGTGAAATCTACAGAATTGAGGACGTGTTTACAGACGGATGAAGTAGTTTTACAAAGCTTTCGGTCGAAAGTACAGGCACAACTGTCATGATTGGTGGTGATTTCCATGCGCTATTCCATCTGCAAGCGGATTGGCCAGCTGAAATAGTCTCGTGTTCAAATTCTAATTTAGTAATTTAGTCCGGATATAGACGTTCATTCGCCCCATAACAGCCCCCTTCATGTCAAGAATCAGCATGCCTAACTACACTTGGAAGTTCATTCGCTTCAGCTCGACTGAGGCAGACATGGAGGATTTTATCGATATATAGAAGAGAAGGTTGAAAGTCAAGAATCAACTCGAGAGATGCCAGGTGTGCTCGCCGAATGGGAATCAACACAAGATGCGCTATGTAATCTACAAGTGCAATTCGACTTCGTGTTCGGAGAGCGCAAGTAGCCTCCAGGGTTGCAACTGGTTTGTCAAAGTGCTGTTTTGCCAAGAAACCCTCAAAAGCAATATTTTTCAGAGTGGAGTCCACTTGAGCACTAAATCATCACCCAAGACGTATGGAATTAGTCTTGGTATGCAAAGATTTATTCGAGAGCGAGCTTCAGCGGGTGAAAAGCCATCTCGTGTAATGAACGAGATGCTCCTTCACTTCAGGCTGGAGTCAGCAGATCCGAAAGAATTATTACCTCGTGTTCAAAAGCGAGTTCGGAATCACCGTAAAAACATCCTGAACGACAACGACTTTGTTGATGAAATGGAGGATCTAATTCAGAAAAATCGGTACTCAAGTGGCCTTGGCGACAACGTAGCCTTTGCTTTCGGGTATGCTGTAAGCTCTATCAGTGAGCCCAAATTGGGAAAGGGATTCGACGAAAGCCCGCTAGTGGTCGGTTTTGCGACAAAAACGTCTATTCGGCGACTTCAATATGCCAATAGCTACATGACCCATCATGATGCAGCTTTTAACCTCAACACTAGTGGCTTCCCGGTTATCGCTGTTGGAGTATCGGACTTGTGGCGGCAATTTCATTTAGTATGCATGTTTCTAGTGTCCGACTTGAAGCAAC